GGAAAGCAGGCAGAACTACTTCTTTCACAGGCACGTCGGCTAACAACATGTGGCCCTCGTTGCCAGCACTTCGTAGTTGCAGCTTAACTATTCCCCACCTGCACTAAAGTTAGTGGAATTTTCGTCTGTTTTGGGTAGAGGAAGTCCCTAAGGCGGTAGTATCATCCCAGAGTGAGTAAGGGTTCCCTCATAGATTTCACTCGGTTAAAGGCATGAAGAGCATTACATGTGTAGTCCACGGCCGCTGTAAATCCAAAACCAGAAGGACGGGCAGGGTAGATTGTGTGACTAGTAGATACAGCACCACATACTTTAACAGGAGGATATACATTAGATGTTGTTGGTAGTGCTATTATTTGTGGAAATTCAGATTTAGAAGTGATGGTATTGATAGTCACTTTCCCACTGATACAGCACAACAAATGTTTTTGAGCACAAAGAATGGCAACGCGGGAAGAGATACAACAAGAGATACACTTAATGTTGTAGGAGGAACTTCAAATTTTAATTCTACTGTAAGAGCTAGCTCGGCTACTACATGTACTAACGGTTTTGTATATTCAAAAATAGTAAGATATATTGAAGAGCAGATGCTCATAATTCACTCAATGCAATAACAAATGAAGAAACGAACTGTTCATTGTAAGCGAATAGTGCAACCGATCCTACCACTTCCAACCATAGCATTACAAGTAAGTGACACTAACGGAATTACATCAAATAGACCAGTTGTAAATAATCTTACTTTTAATGGTACTGGTTATATCGTTGGTGAGGCAGATGTCACTAGTTGGGGTAAGTTTAATTTCAGAATAGCGGCGATTTTCGGGAAGTCTTAGATACACAGTATAAAATGTATACGTTCATTAGAAATGGAGACACAGCGGGGCAGATGAAGTGAATAATGGGTGTTGATTCATCAATTCCAGAAATGCAATTAACGAATGGAAAGTTAATCAGTTGGAAATCTGAATATCACATGTACTGATGATGATTATATTTTTGAGTTGACAGAATACACGAGATGTCGTTAAGTCTTCCACGGGTGAAAAACCATGCAAGATGTTGGTGCATCTTAAACAAAGTCTGGGTCATCTGCAGAGTCGCCCAGCACGATTATAAAACACTAAATGGTTCCTTCTGTTGATTCTTCTTCTGGAAGTCTATTACCTTGTGTTGTGTTTCAGAATATGCTTTAAGGCAAGTGGATCGTATTCCTCATCATATACTTGTTCCTTTTCGGTATCCACTTTCATTAGGTGAGGTATTTCTTGACTGCTCTTCATGTGTCGTCAACATGAACACTAGGGCTAAAAATTTTTCTCTCAAAGGAACCACGGTATACAAGATTTTGCATCAAAACAGATTTACCACGCGTTGAAGAGGCAACACGTAGCATTTTAGCAGGTAGATTTGGCATCACTTCATATTTGCCATTCTTATATTTGCTGCATGTTTTGGTACGTTTATAGGCTCTACTTTAGGAATAACCTCACTCATTAGCTGAATATAGAATTTTTTTTTTCTGCATTGTTTTGGCTGCGACCCCACATCGTAAGATCATATCGATAAGATAACCATGGATTTTAAGACTGAGTATTGTCCTTCTCATGGTGATCAGCAATGTGTTAGATGTAAGGAATGGAAGAATGTAGTGCGTTTTCAACGGTACTATCATGCTCAAAGGGGTAGGTGTTTAATGCAGTATAAACACACGGTGACTTGTTGTGAATGTCTGGATGCCATGAGAGAATACAAAGAAAAAGTGAAGAATGGCGAGCATGCACTTTAAGAAACAACGCAGAATATGGCAGAAGTTGAAAGTAAATATTGCAGTGATGTCAAGTTGTGTAGAAAGTCGAGAAGTTTGATGGCACACACAGGACATACTTGTAGAGGGAAGAACAGGAGATATAGAGAAAGAAATAAAGACAAAGTCATTGAAAGAGAGCGGGCTTCCCGAGAACAAAACAGAGACGCACTCACTGAGAGAGCAAAGATAGATTCCATGTCGAAATGATGAAACGATCACATGTCCAATTTGCAAATATGATATCAAAAAAGTACAAGAAAGCGCAACACGAAAACCACAAACACATCAGTATAATCTGAAGAAACTAGAAGATCCAGATTTTGAGCAAGAGTTGCCTGACCCTGATTCGATTACAATGATTGACGGTAAGGAACACTATTTTTGCCATGCTTGTAGAAATGGCATGTTGGTATGTATGTGGAGAATCCACTGTGAGAAGCTATATCAGGTGGAAGTAACAGTATAGTATAATTCTATTCTTTGAGAGGCATTGCACCACGAGAATATTATGATTACAACCTTTGAAACTAAACCTGGTGGTCTGTGGGGAGACAGACCCGTGCCCGCTTTGGGGTGGTGGTGCGTGCCGCTTTAGGGAATATGGATGGGGTGATTGGTTCTTCCTATACTGGTCTTGGTAATGGGGAAGTAGTGGTGACCGTGATATAGTTGGTGATGATGTAGGGGGAGTCTAGGAGTAATCTTCTAATGGGTGGGTTAGTGGTCGGCTGGTGGCACTATCACCTTACACGGGCAAGGTTCCGCTGACTAGTAAGACCTGTTTGAAACCTTGCAGTAGAATTTGCGTAAAAGTTGGGCCTGGTCAAGCACTGTTCGTCCAGAGTTTTACTTGCCCTTACAGCTGTGGTGATGGACCACTGGCCATTATCGGGTGCTGAGCTGGAGCTTCAAGCAGGTGGCGTAGGAACTCGACCCTCAACCCCGCAAACCCTCGTGAGCCACCTTTCACGCGAAATTTCCCATAGACCTGAAGACCTGCATTGATTTGAAAACCTTAGGATAATTTCGGGGCTACATAGGTATATAGGGACTATATAAGGTATTTATCGGGGTTTCTTGGGAATAAGATTAAGGGACCCTTCTAGGGCTCCCTCCCCCCCCCCCCCCCCCCCCCCCCCCACGCCCAAAAAAAACAAACCTAAACAAAAAACCTGGGTGGCAAAAACCCTAAATCCTAAACCAGCTAAGCCCCAACTTCAGCCTGAGCACGGTGGTAGGGCGCCGCCAAGAAGCGGCAGTCGCGCGGCATCCAGCTCGGCCCGCGGCCTGGGATCCGGACTTGGGGTTTAGGGTTTAGGGTTTAGGGTTTCGGGTTTAGGGTTTAGGGTTTAGGGTTTAGGAGGGTTTTGGCTCTTGGCGAAAGCATGATGCAAAACCCATCACCGCAACTCCCAACACCATAAGCCTTACAGTGCAGCCCACACTGCTCAAACCCGGACTCTGCCACCTAGGCGACTCACGACCCGATTCGCGGCCACGCTCCATGCCCCTCGGAAGTTTTTCAGGAGCAAACACAGAACCGCTATTTGCTTAAGAACCCAATTATTAAGCAACTAGTAGAGAAGTGGACATTTTCCGAACAGTGTGAAGAGTCTGAACAGCTCCCAGCCCTCTGGCCTATGGTGTCTCTCAAGCCTCAGAGTCCCAAAGACCTCTTCACAGCCGAGGTCTACGGATTACAGTGGCTATAGCGCCTCAGATGTGGAGGGCAGGAGTGAGCCGCAAGCGTGAAGATGTTTGAGGTTTCCGGGGAGGGTGACAAACTTTCAGGATTTTTGACTTGGAGTCTCTATCGGTTGCAGATTGATTGGGGCCCGGGCTTGGGGCTTCTGATTACCCCGCTGCAAGCTACTTTTCGGCCAACTGTATGCCAGTTATCTTGACCGGCGGCGGGCGCGCGTGATCTAGGGATGGCCCATGGCCTCAAGAGCTGGGCATGTGAGATTAGCATTGCTAACGGCGTGCTGCATTCCCCCGAAGCAGTGCGCATTCCGCGGCCGATGCTTCAGAGTGATTGGGGTCATGATGTCGCGAAGGGTCCTGAGTGCGCCAGTGGATCTTTCATTTTTCCAGTCAGATACACTGGGTTCTTGCACTCTGCAGGAATCACTCCGACTACTCCAACAGTGAGGCGTCGGCGATAGTGCTCCGACAAGCCAACTTTTCGGATCCTTCTAGAGCGGGGAACCAAGTTAGGGATAGCCTCGCCCAGTTTGGGGCAATTACACCACCACCGCACAACTATAGCCCAATATCTGTCAAGGTACTTTACCATATACCCAAGATGAGCAAAGCGAGTTTTTTTTTGGTCAGTTTATGGGTCACAGTACGGTAGTAGGGTTGTTCGCATGATGGCTTCAGAAAATGTTGGACACAGGCTTGGTTCACGTTCGCCTCTTTCCAAGGGAATTGCCACGTTTGCGGAGTTAGGGCAGTATCTTCTAACCCCAACGTGCTGAGAACATCTGATTTGTTTGTGACTTTCCTCTCCGGCAGCGACGGCCATGAGGCGCTGCAAAGGACGTTCGCCATTGGATATATTGAATCCGAAACCTACTAGCCTTAGTATTGCAAAAATAAATTATATCGAAGAACTGAAAACCTACTCATAAATTATTATCTACTAATAATTAGTACAGAAGATGATACTCGTACTACTGTTGTTGAGTTTCCTACAGGCAGGGATTGTAAAACACGGTACATGTTATGAAAAGCATGCAAGCAAACAAAACGCACAAATGAGTTGATAAGCATGAAAGTAAAGAATGTCTACGTAAAACATGTAGGGACTGTTTGGACATAGGTAAGAAATATAGACTTAAAGGAAGGAATGACCGCAGTAAATGTCAAGGTAATCAGAAGTTGAAAAGCTTGAAGAAGGATACATAGCATGTAATACCTGTAGGGAGCATAGCAGAAAGAACAAATCCATGTACAGAAAATCAACAAAAACGTCAAAGGTTTCTAAACAATAAAGATGAGACAACTACATGTCCTATCTGTAGGTATGACACCGTTCTGGGGAACGAGAGGATGCTTAGCACCATTAACGCAGCCGCGCAGAGTTTCGGTTGGATTGGATCTCAACTGGTGCCTATAGTTTGCAGTTGGTATCGGGAATAAGTCCTTCCACCGCCTAATTACACATGTCTAGCCACCGGCGCGAATGCGCAACCGCAACTGCCCAACACCATTGCCGACGAGCTCGTCCACAAGAAGTCCATGAGGTGATTGTTACCCTAAACCCTAAACCCTAAAACCTAGTTGCCAATTCTTGTGCACCCCAAAGCGGGTTTCGGATGTGCCGCTTCGGGCTTAGGGCAAATCTCTCGCGCACACTCTCTCTCTCTCCCTCTCTCTCCCTCCCCCTCTTTCTCTTTCGGGCGTTCGTCAAGGATGCCCTTTGGCACCCAGTCTCTGGACCCTGGTCACCATTGCCCTGCTTCGCGCCGTGGCAAACGCTTCGTCCTTGGACTGGATCCAAAATGACGCGACTATGTTCGCGGACGACTTACTTCTGCAGTGGGAATTCTCAGATGTCCCTACTCTCAACCGGATGGTGAACAACATTGCAGACTGTTTTCATATCCTGGCTCAGCTCGGTCTCCAAGTCCAGCACCGCAAGACTCAGCTCATCGTTGCTCACAAAGGTCGCCGCGCGCAGCAGTGGTGGCGTGCGCACACGGCCTCCACTTCGGAGGGCCGCTACCTGCTCATCCCCCAATCTCAAGGCAAAGCCTTAAAGTTGCCAATCGTAGACCAACTTACGTATCTTGGGATTGTATTGTCCTACAAGGACGCTACCACTGCCACAGTTGAACACAGACTCCAGGTAGCTGAGGCTCAGCGAGCGCGCCTGCTCAAAATTCTCCACTCACGTAGTTTACCGCTGGCTAAGCGAGTGCAGCTGTGGATCGCATGTGTGCGTAGTTCGGCACTGTATGGTCTGCACCTCGTTGCTTTACAACAGAAGCACATTGAGCGCATCACTGTTGTCTTGGTGAAACACCTGCGCGCTATTGCACGCAGTTTTGCTCACATGACAAAAGAGCCCAGTCGTGCCTTGCTTGAGCGACTAGGGGTCGAAGACCCGCTTATGTTCCTGACGCGCTGCGGTCAACGGGTTCTTGCCAAGGCGAGGGACTCCCGCGATCCCATGGTGGCAAGGCCTCGTATTCTTTCTTGGTTAGTCCACTGCACGGAGTCCAAGTTAGCCCTCACTTCGCACCTGGACCATGTTCCCCCTCCGAACTACGAGATCACCTGCTCCAGCGGACTAGAACACACTCAAGCGGTTGAAGAAACTCTCCGTGTAGCTGCGCTGCCCGGCCCCCTCCAAGGGGTGCCGTTTACTCAGCAAGTTGCGGGAACACATGGCCCCAGATTTGTGCAACTTTCGTGTCCTACTTGTAATCTATGGTTTCCGGATCTTGCCACTCTCAAAAAGCACCATCAAAAGTATCATGAAGTGGCGCTGGTCAATCCGCAAATTGAGGTCAATGCCGCTGCTGTCCGAGGCCATAGTAAGGAGGGGATGCCGGTTTGTCGACACTGCTCTAAGGATTATGTTACATGGTTCAACCTCAAGCGACATATCCAAAAGGGACACTGTACGGCACAATGGCGACAGCACAGTGAATCCACAACGGCTCTTGGCGCCAGTCAAGATCAGGAACCGTCCGCAGACGCGCCCCCACCCCTGATCACGGAACCGAACAAGGAGTCTACTCCCTGCCTTGACCCCCCCAGACCTGAAGCTACCAGTTCCCCGGGGGCTCTGTCTGGCACCATCTCTGAGCCTTTGGCAATACTTGCTAATCAGCCTGCCTTCCCTCCCCAGGACTGGATCAAGTTCGCCCGGAGGTCCGACACTCAGGCAGTTCTTCGGCAGTTCTGTGCATTGTGCGGACAGTGGCTGGTCTCGGTGCGGAGCATTAAGCTACACTACAGGCATGTCCACCCGGAGGTTTATGAAGCGCACGGCAGCGCAGCGGCGGCGGATTGCAAAAGGGTAGGTCATATCATTTCGCCGTGTCCGTTCTGCGGTGCTTCTGTCACACGTACGGATCAGCACTCCTCTACCTGCCCGGTGTTGTGGCAGGCCTGCATATATAGCTTGGTCAGCGTAGCCTCGTCCCGTACCCAGCCATCACTTGGAACACCTTGCTCCATACCGGCAGCGGATTGTGTGCTCCCTGCCAGCAATGATGGACGACTTCCAGACGGAGTTAGACAGCGAAGAAAAGACGATCTTCGGAGAGGTTCTGGGGAAGAGACCTCTTCTGCAGCTGGACGGCGAGGCCCCGGAGAGAGAGGCGAAGTTTGCTCACCCAGGAGGCAAAGGGCCGCAGCAGGGGCGCATGCAGCGCCACCAGCCGCCGCCAATGGGCAGGGGAGGGCATCAGTCGGCCCCTGCACAGGGCAGCCGCACGAAGGGCCATCAAGACGGACGGGGACATCGCGACCACCGCCCAGGCTCCTCACAGACTTCTTTGGACGACCATGCCCTTCTCCATCGAGTTGCCAAAGCTATAGTGGTGCAGTCGGACTATCTGGCGCGCCTCCAGAGCGACCACACCATCCTCTTCACGTTCAAGAACGGCAACGGCCCACAGTTGATGGTGCCGCTACTGCACGAGGTGGCGGCGAACTGGAGGGAGCAGAGGAGCAAGGGGGCGGTCACCAAATCCCTCAAGCAGACTCTCCTTCAGTATGTGGCCGCGGAGATTGTCACGAGGGTGACCACCTTCGGCGGAGACAAGGCCGCTCAGGCCAAGGCGCAGGAAATGGGCTGGATCACCAGCGACATGGAATACAACTTCCTCGATTGGAATGCGGAGGAGCAGAGGCTCGTCCCTCGTCAAGAGGGGACGCTTACTCAAGACCAAGTGCTGGCGGAGGCCAGGCGCCTCAAGGCCCTGCTCAAAGCGCCCGAGCTGGTCCTGAAGTTTGCGGCGGCACGGAATGCCAGGCCGGGCTCCACCTCGGAAACGGCCACCTTCGTGCTGGAGCTCTCGATGCAGGCCCCGGGGGCAGCGGAGGCAATGGCGATCTTCCGCAAGTGGTTCGCCAGCTCCGCCTTGCTCCTGTTGTCCCTTCGATTGAAGCCAGCCCGCCCCGAGAAGTCGCCGTTGATCAAGGAGATTCAGGAGGCAGTGGGGTGGTAAATGGTCTGGCCCCCAGTAGTCTGTGCATTCCTTTGCCATTGTCGTCGCTCGTTCTGCGTAACCCTGACAATCTCTGCTACTTGCATGCTGCGGTCTATCTGCTGGCTTACATACATGCTCAACAGTCCAGAATTGGCCCCCTCGGGGGTGCCACCTCGCTGGAACAAGCATTAGGGTTGTTGTGGAAACCACACCACCCTTTTTGTGGCCCTCGAAGCCTTGTTTTGCCTCAACTGGCCCACTGGGGGACCCTGCTAGCGGACTGGCCCCAGATGCATCAGCAGCAAGACTGTATGGAGCTCATCCACCATTTGCTTGCAAGACATCCATTGTCCTACTTGGAGTGTCGTTGGGAGGCCCGTCCACTTCCCGGCACCGTCGCTGCTCGACGACCGCTGACACAGGGCCTCTTCTGTGTGGACCTGCCTCTCCCTAGGCTCGCAAATTCTACGCTGCAGACCTGCATCACTAATTGGCATGAACAGAAGATTCCTCATGGACTCCTCAACAAACCCCGCTTTTTGCTTGTGTGTCTTGCCCGGTACGCCAGTGCAACAAGAGGCAAAAACCGGATCAAGATTCCATGCCGGGCACTACAGCAGGTGAGCTTCCCGGTATTCAAAGGCTCAAAGCATGATGTTGAGTGGACTGCTTACACTCTCATTGCAGGGATACTACACCAGGGGCCGAGACCCGAGCAGGGTCACTACCGCTCCTTTTTAGCGCACCCTCCTAAATGCGCGGATGCTGCTCAGGAGCTGCTGACTTCCTCAGCTTCAGCTGCTTCCGTTGGTGACCGGGGAATTTCGGCCCCCTCGGGGAGACCGTCGGCCCCCACGGGGAGCCCGCCTTACACATGGTGGTGTACGGATGATGGGAAACCGGCTACAGTATGTCATCCTACATACTCCCGGTCTTTGAGTGAAAACTGTTACGTATTGTGCTTTCAACTTACTGACAGTCTCTAATCTGTGCTGCGAGTGATGCCGGATTCATGATCTGATTTGGCCTTTGCTCAGAGCTAGGCCCGTACAGAAACGTAGTTACTAGCACCGCTCGGGCTCATGCACTTGAGTTACGAGTCTTAGTTTACGGCGATGTGGATACACAGCTCCTGTTAGCCGCGCTGGATTTTTTTCTCGAAAGTTCGGCGTGTCGCCAATGCCGCGCATGGGACCAGGGGACGGTTCTGCGAATGCAAAGTCAAAAAGTCCTCTTTCTCTTTCTGAAATCGGAAAACTTCACAAAGACACCCGTGGAAACACAAGAGCATCAAAAGCCTAACTTCCAACGCCATTGGACTGTACATCATTCACTGTACCGTAGCGTGCGTGCAAGAATGCGGGTGGGTGGGTGGGTGTGTGTGTGTGTGAGAGAAAGACGGCATGACTTAAGCCCTAAACCCTAAACCCTAAACCCTAAACCCTAAACCCTAAACCCTAAACCCTAAACCCTAAACCCGACTTAATGCTGTTTCAGAATCCCTGGTGCAGGACGACAGCGATGATGCATCTCCACCCCCTTCCCCCGCCATGCCGCAATCGCACCTCCCGCATGCGCAGGCAGCTTCATTATTCATTCCTTGGGATGTTCCCCCGTACACTAAGAGTCCTTAATAGGGATTAGAATACCCCGATTATAGTCCCCATTAAGGACTGTTTTTTTTTGGGGAGAACATGCCAACTCATTCCTTTGATTGAGTGGCAGAACTCGTGGGGGTTTTGAATGCTCGAAGGTGTTTTGGGGTTTTATCGCTTTGGTCTTGGACACCTTCGGTAACCACTCGACTTCACTAGACGCACCCGCGCTGAACCGACATCGTGTAAAGCTACATAGGCCCCTGAACTTTCCTTGCATGCTGACGGGTGCGAATCTTATGTCACATGAGTGGTATGTTTTCTTTGGAGATTCGGAACCTCAGGTCTCTAGAGATCAGGGAGCAATATGGCCGGTCAATCGTGGAAGCGCGTACACGAACACACAACCCTAAACCCTAAAGCCTAAAGCCTAAACCCTAAACCCTAAACCCCGGAGAGGCTTCAAGGCATGGTGGCCAGGACAACCAGAAGCTGCTGGAAGAGAGAAGGCCAAAAAGCTGTAGTGATGCCACTTCTTGTTGACGAGGGTTTCTCAGGGTTCACAAGGGCATGGGGGGTCCATGTCTCATGTCGCACATGCTTATGTAAGGGAGCGTATGGAGCGTCCGCTCCATGTGGCAAGGATTTGAGGCCTTACTTCCTGCTTGTATTCTGCTTAGACGTATATATAAGCAGGATGTAAGGCGCAGAACTGGAGGTCTTGATGTAAGGTCAGATTGCTGCATGCCAGAAAACTACACACTCGTGTTGTCGTGTTTGGTGTAAATCAGGGGTACAGGAATCACTTGTAAGTGCCTCGGAGCTGCCCTGTAACCTGTACGGCATCTGAATACTATGCAAGCAGTATTTAAGCACCATGTACGCATGAGAATCGAAGCACGATATAAGCACCCCGAATCGCAGCTTCCTGGGACACAGGCTTCTAAGCGCCTCATGACCTTCACGAGAATGAAGTAGCTATTGGCTTCCTCTGGGGGGAAGCCTTGTCCAGCAGTGGCGGACCGGGTGGTGGAGAGGCGATGACTGTGGGGTGTTTAAACCCTAAACCCTAAACCCTAAACCCTAAACCCTAAACCCTAAACCCGCGTAGCCGGGTACGGCGCGTGGCAATCTGACACCTCCCTTCTGCGGGCCCGAGTTGCGCTTGTTTGCTCGGCCCTTGGGATGGCGCGGCAGAGCGAGCGAGAAAGTTGGAGGTTCATGGGTACTTTATGGTAAGCAGGGTTACGTAGAAGTACCTTAAATAAGGTTATAACCAATTATAACTATGGTTAGAGAGAGAGAGAGAGAGAGAGAGAGAGAGAGAGAGACAGAGAGAGAGAGAGAGGCTAATACGGCTGCCTTGCGAGCGTTAGCAGGAACTGAGCTGCAGACGGTCTGGGGCGCGCATCCACGCGGGGGGCCACCCCATGCCCCAAAGAAAGAAAGAAAGAAAGAAAGAAAGAAAGAGGGAGAGAGGGAGAGAGGGAGAGAGGGAGAGAGGGAGAGAGGGAGAGAGGGAGAGAGGGAGCGATGCCCCGTAGAAGAAGAAGAAGAAGAGGGAGCGATCAATGCCTCGGCTAGCCAACCCGCGAGGCTAGCAGAGAGGCGGAGGCTGGAGGACCTCTGCCATCCGGCGAATTAGGGTTTTGGGCTTTGGGTTTTAGGGCTTAGGGTTTAGGGTTTAGGGTTTAGGGTTTAGGATGTGCGCACTGGATGTGAGTTTGTAGCTTAGGGTTCGGCAATAAACGGTTGTCTGAAGTCTGAAGGGTTTGACGTGTATAGGCAATTCGGTTCAGGAGCTGCATTTTGTTGGGATTTGGTGTTGTCTCTTTTCTTGTTTGGTTTAAGTCAGCAGAACAAAGACGTTCTTTGTTCTTTATACAAAAACAGACACGGGACAGAAGAGAAACACGCACACGCACACGCACACGCGCACGCGCACGCGCACGCGCACGCGCACGCGCACGCGCACGCGCACCCACACACACACACACACACACACACACACACGCAGACAAATGCTTGACTTCTTGTCTTCCTGGCTTCTGGGCTCGCTGGCTGCTTCGTGTTTGTTTAATTCCTTGCTTGGCGTCTGCCATACTTCTGGGCCCGCGGCTTCTCATATCTCCCGGTCACTTGCTTTTCGTTTCCTCCTCTGGCTCCTGGTTCATTGTGGCTTCCTTCTTCTGGGCCCGTCCTGCGCGCTGTGTTCGGACTTGCCTTGCGTAGTTATTCCTAGCACACAAAATAGAAGACAGAGGGAAAGAGCTGCACCTCAACCCTTGCACGCTTACAAGGCAAAGCCCGGCCATGCTCTTCAGGATCACCATGTATCACCATACATTGCATTGTTGCAAACACGGCGAGGGGGTGAGGCGGCGGAGAAGTTGCGACGTGCAGGGTTTGGAGCGGTCGAACATATTTCAGACAATGTAAATTACGGCGTCATGCTGCAATTTGGGGCGGTTCTGCAAAGCACAAGGCCAGCAAAGCACACAAGAACGAAAGCACAGACTGCTTGTCACCAGATTAGCGTTCTAGGGCTTATGCAGGGCTTCTAAGCCTACAAAGACTTTGCGGTTAGGCTGATGGCTGATGCTCTTGCCCATGTTTGCTTCACGGACTTGCAAGCGTTTGGAGTTCCAACATGAGTCGTCAAAGAGCGGTATGTGAGCTACAAGTGGACGGGCTGTTCGGAAATATTTTGGGGTCTTTGCCTGGTGCTAGGGAAGTGCCATTAAGTGCCATTCTGCCCAGCCTGTTGTGACTAGGCGCCCGTGTGTACAGGCCCTCTTGTCAGCTTTGACCCAAAAAAACTCACGTTTTCTTTGAAAACACCACTGAGTCCCGAACCCTAAACCCTAAACCCTAAACCCTAAACCCTAAACCCTAAACCCTAAACCCTAAACCCTAAACCCTAAACCCTAAACCCTAAACCCTAAACCCTAAACCCTAAACCCTAAACCCTAAACCAACCCCAGGGGACCATGTCTCTGAATCCCATTTGAGCAGCTTAAGCCGCAGCAGACCCAGCGTTTGTGAGGAGCAGCAGAGGCAAGAGCAACAAAGGCAAGCCGAAGCCGAGAGGCGTGGGGAACCGACACATTTTGCTGAATATTCGAGAGGGGAGAGGTTTAGGGTTTAGGGTTTAGGGTTTAGCGTTTAGCGTTTAGCGTTTAGGGTTCCTACGAGCGCATAGGACGAAGCCAAGATCAAGCATGGACGATGCTGGACGGGTTCTTACTAGAACTGGCTTGGAGAGGGCAGCTGTTTGTTTCGTGGCTTGGAATCACAAGTGCGAGGGGTGTGAACGGCTGATCAAGTAATTGAGTCCGCGAGGTCGTAGATGTCATAGTCTCTGTGTCTGTGTGTGTGCATGCGAGACGACTGTGAAATGTATGTCTTAAGTGAGAGTGAGTGTACTATACGCGCGTGCGTACGTGATTGAGTGAGGGAGTGAGTCTGTAAGTGCTGGCTGATTGATTGAGTGTGCGCGGGCATGTTTTTTGATGATTGTGTGAGCGCCGTGAGCGCTTAATCCTTGAGTCAATTCGAGGTGGGCGGGGCACAGAGGCATCCTAGAATCAATCTCAGACAATGCTTTGCCTGGCAACAAAAGCCAACATGACGTTAACCCCCCGGCCCTGAGTGAAATCCGCGAAAGCCTGCTGCAAACCAAAAGACCCAGCTGTAGTACTAGAGTTACAAACTACACAATCCTGCCCACCAGTGGAAGCCTTGTTTGCAGCCTGGTTTCGGGACTCCGCTGAACTAACTGGAACCTTCCGGCACCAGATGCCCGTAAAACGCGGCAACTCCCAAGCAGAGAATTCGCAGGCGGCAAGCCGAGGAAAGGTCCAGGTTGGAGAAGTTGCAGAGCTTGCAGCGCAAGGAGGAGGAAATGAGGCGCGATGGACAAGTTTGATCGAATACAAGCGCATAACCTACAACAACAGCTAACACAATAATCCCTGGGCTCGTAAGATAGTGATTGAGTCATTGCCAGGATAAACAAAAGCCCCCAGTTGCAAGCCAGATCTTCGTGCAACAGAACAGCATCGCCCACCCACTATCCTCAATCATCCGCAACTGTTGCCGGCCAGGCCAGTTCACAGTCTTCGCGAGCTCCCAAAGCCCTGAAGACCAATTTCCACCCTCTTTGCTGTGTCCCGCCCTCCGCCAGAACAGTCGAAGCTGTTTTGTCCCTCTTTAAGCAGTCCGGGGGTTTTGTATGACTTTGATAGGGATGAGTTTACATAAGTGTAAATCACCCCCAAACCGTCACCGTGTCCTGAATAGCCCAGCAAGCTTGACTTTAAACAGGGGGCGCCCACTAAAGCAGGTGAAGCATCAACATAGAAATGGACTGAACCCCCTGTACAAAGCCGAAAGACGTCCGGTAGAGGGGTTTGGCTCAGGGCCAAGCTGCCTACGGAGCGGATCTTGCAACTCGCGCTCGCTTGAGACCTGGGGACGTGGGATACGGCGTAGTCGGGTGTTATGCGAGGTTTGAGGTGCTGGGTCTCGGACCTTGCTGGGTTCAGAGCATGGGCTCGCCACAAGCTCAAGGCAAACTTTATGCTTCAATGCACCATGTGGGGCAATCAGGTTGTGTCTGGCGTGGTGGTTGCTGTTTGCTGGAGGTGTTGCTGTTGTGCTGTTGTGCTGTTGTGCTGTTGTGCTGTTGTTCTGCCGTTCTCCTGTTCTGTTGTTCTGTTGTTGGGTACTGAAGGGTACTGTTGGGCCTGAGGCTTCAAGCGTGTCTAGACGAGTCAGTGCTTCCGTCAAGCCTGTTTTCGGCTTACTTTCCGAGAGCTCTGGATGTGCCGCAGGGAGACTCCCCCACCCTTGAATCTCGAATACTTGAGCTTTGAGCCCCTACACTTTGAACATGTCGGCATGTCGTTGCACCTGACTAGCTCTACGCACCCAGAGACACTAAGCTAGAAACTTGAAAGTCATGTTTGCGATGTGGTCCCGATTTGGCCGCGGGGCAGCACCACGGTGGAGAGTGGGCCTTGCAGGCGACGTCCCTGTTTTTGCCTGGCACGTGGTTCCGTGTCCCGCCTCGGTACCTCGCAAAACACACTAAGACCTGGGCGTCATACTCTGCATTGAGGTTCGGAGCGAAAGCACACCGGTAAGCAGCCAGCAGAAGGCCTGCAAGAGGGCCGGCACACATTCAAAACACCAAGCCCGTAATCCCTATACCCTACAACTCGAACTGGGGGGGGTTTCCGCCGGTTGAAGTTGCAGTTGAAGCTCTCGTTGGTATCCCTGCGATGTGGATTTCGCTCAGCTGTGCAAGAGAGAGAAAATCCGAAACGCAGAAACTAAGCAGCCCACTATGAGGCCACGGAGCATGGCTTACCTCATGTGCTGCCACTTGGGATGTTCTCCCTTATACTGTTCTGAATAGGGATTATCATGGGGGGGGGGTACTATAATCTATTCAGGACTGTTAGTATAAGGGGGAACATCCCAAGCTGCTACTATCTTGCCACGCTAGTAATATGGTCCAACCCGTAAACCCATTCCTTCAGCAGCCCCTCCCCCCCTTTCATCCCATGAAGCCTCAAGCTCCTTAGCACCCCTCGAGGATCTCGGACCGATAGTCCCAACCCTTCGTATCAGAAGCACTGCTGGGAGAAATGACACCAGCTCCCATGAAAAGAGAGCCCCATGACACGACCGAGGGTGTGATGAGGTGCAAGCCTTGCGGCTTCGGCCGTCGGGGCGGCAGCCGCTGCAGATGAAGGCGGCCGGGTCCGCAATGGGACGGTCAAGGCATGGGATCGATGTAAAGAGTAGCTCACACAGGGGTCATCCAAGAATAGCGTCTTGGCATCTAAGGCGCGGGCTGAAGGGCCGAAGGGTTCAGTTCTGGGTGAGTCGCTCAGTGAGAGAAGGTGCTATACTCTAGCCGGTTTTCAAATGCAATTCCAATCTAAAGAAATTTGTTCGGCAGGAATGTCAGGCAAAACACGAACCACAGCATTATGGTTGTGGCATGGAATTTCTCAATCTATCTGGTGCCGGTCTTGTCACAGGTTTCCGTCGGTGCCTCCAGTTCTGGGCGGTGGTCTTACCGATCTTTGCGCACTACAAGTTCGTGGACCGAATCCTGCATCCAAGTCCCTCCGCAGAGCGGACCGAGGCTTTCGACACTCGAACCCACAAGGGCTTCAGTCTTAGGTCGGCTACTGCTTGCCGGGACCTACGAAGCCTTCCTAAACCCTTCCTGCCTACCCCATCCTACCAATTGGGATCAACCGGCATGTTTAAACAAAGCCGTAGCAGGACCCAGATTCCCCCCGTGCGCATGGTGCTCCGAAAGTTGCCCATCTAGAATGTCCATGATATGCGCATGAGCTGCTCTTGCTTTAAACCTTGTCGAGTGTTCGGGGGTCGAAGCCCTTTCTCAGCCTTCTTGCCCGGACCAAGGAGAGGCTGCACGACTTCTACTCCCCCATCGTCCGCTCGGCGACCTTGCGGCTGCGTGGCTACTACCTGAAGGTCGCGCAGTTCCTATCCATGTGGCCGGGACAGTTTCAGGTGCAGCATCCGGAGTTGAAAACACATGGGGTTTCCGTAGGTCTACTGCAGAATAAGGGGGAGAGGGGGGGGCACTTGTCTTCCGGGCAGGTGGAGTGGAATGTTGCTCGTGTTGTCTGTCCATGGCCGTATGTGATCTTACTTCTATTTCGTCGCCAGAAGGATTCGGTATCTCTTTCTGTCGTGTGTGTAGCCATTGATGGTCTTTCCCGGTTCGGCAAATGCGGAGGAGTTGCTTCGAAAATGTCATCGAACAAGTTTATAATCTTTTGGTGCGCAAACCCTGAACCCTATTGAAATTTGAAGGGTCCCTGGCCTCTGAAATCCAAGTCCGCCAAGGGCCCTGAGGCCTGAAGATGTCGCAGGGCAAGACCAGAGGCCACATGACATCTAACCCCCCCTTCAACTACATCCCCCTTTGGGAATTATTGTTTATTGTTGTTGATATAAAACCCAAGAGGATATTTAGAAACACTATATGTTTATTAAGGTTCTAAGGGGGGAGTACAGTCGAGCCAAGAGGCCAGTGCTTTGAAATCGCGCGGAGGCCAAGGCCCACACAAAACGAGGCTTCCAAAACAATGCCATTTTCGGGCACCGAGGCGGGCTCCTGGACCACCCCTTTGCCGGATTGGGACTATTTGTCTTAGGGCTTAGGGCTTAGGGTTTAGGGTTTAGGGTTTAGGGTTTAGGGTTTAGAGTTTAGGGCAAAGGAATTTGCTGCGTTCGGCTCGAAGGAGGCCCGATGATTTGAAGGGCGGAGCCTTGAAGCCAAGAGGCCATGTCTTCGACATCCTCAGTTTAGGGAAGGAGGGTGAGCTAGGTTGGAAGAAACAGACGACCCTTAAACAATCCGGTTATCTGGGCCGGGGTCCGCACCCGATCCCCGCGCGTTCTGATGTTGAACCGCAGATCTGCCCCTTTTGACGCCAATTGAGAAGCAGAAGCCCCCCGGCATATTTTCTGAATGCCACACTTGGCATCTTGAACCCTTCCCCCACCCTCCCCCCGCCCCCCCACGCAAAGCCACACACAACTTCGGAGCACAGAAGTTTTAGGAGCCAACGCGTCGCATTTAACGTTACAACATGATTTTGGAGAGCCAGTTTAGTTTTGTGAGTCTGCTGTGCAATGGCCATCAAGAGAAACCGTGAATCTAGAGCACTGCCAAAAAAAATGACGGCCCAGGCGGGACGACTATGTCCCTCCTCAATATCTATCCTGGGCGAAGAAGCTCCAGGTGTTTGGCGTGTGGGGTTTCTTTCAGGAGTTTCCTTTTGTGTTGGCATGGTGGCATAGTGCAGAACTGTAAACCCCTAAACCCTGAACCCTGAACCCTGAACCCTAAACCCTATACCTAAACCCTAAACCCTAAACCCTAAACCCTAAACCCTAAACCCTAAACCCTAAACCCTAAACCCTAAACCCTAAACCCTAAACCCTGAACCCTAAACCCTAAACCCTAAACCCTAAACCCTAAACCCTAAACCCTAAACCCTAAACCCTCCCTTCGAGGATGAAGCGCCTGTGGCGCTCAGCGCCCCGGAGGCGCAGCGCTGCGTCGCCGCAGAGCTAGGCCCCCGGCCCAGCAAAGCTGATCCTCCTAACCCTTTTTTGCAAAGCTGATCCTCTTGACCCTTTTTTGCTCAGATGTTTAGGGTTTAGGGGGTTTAGGGTGTTTAGGGTTTTTCGGGGTTTTCGGGGTTTTTCCTGGTTTTTTCGGGGTTTTTCGGGGTTTTTCTGGGTTTTTCGGGTTTATAGGGTTTATAGGGTTTATAGGGTTTATAGGGTTTATAGGGTTTATAGGGTTTATAGGGAATAGGGTCAGGGTTTTCTGTCATTCAAGGCTCACATGTAAGACAAGCTGTCTGCGCATGTGTGCAGCAGTTGGGAGGTCTTCATAAGTCGTGGTGTTCCGAACCTGGTGTGCACAACATATGGGCAGGCGCGAGCTACTTATATCGTACTAGCATAGTGCTTACAAGTGCCCGCATATTGCTCACTGGGTGCTTTTCGAAATAGCGCTATTCACAAAAGGCTGACAAAAACGTAGAGTCTACGCATTGCACTGCTGGGACGTAAGTCGGGACAATCGTCTTTGGAATACAGCTGCTTGCAACGAAGATGGGCATCCGAGATCAAAGAGTTGCGGATACGTGCTCGCGCTTGTTGATCCTAGCGTGTTCCACGCCGAAATGTTCCATCGCCCATGGCCAGTCCGCAGTTTTGCGGTGCAGTGCATCGGTCAGTGCATCAGTATGTACATCTTGTATAATATTCTATTCTATTCTATTAGATTCTATTCTGTTACATTATATTACATTATAATATATTATATTATCTTATATTATATTATATTTTCATTATATTACAATATAATATAATTACATAAATAAATAAATATATATATATATATATGTATATATATATATATATTATATTTATGTATTTATTATTTATGTAGCATGTGAACGAATTGTGTGATATATGTTGGTTGCTTCTCATGTTCAGGTGATCTCCACAACACTGAGGATTGCGTCCGTCTCTGAAACTGTCCTCACCTTTGGGCCCCCCTCCAACCCCTCCCGACGCTATCCCTAAACCCTAAACCCTAAACCCTAAACCCTAAACCCTAAACCCTAAACCCTAAACCCTAAACCCTAAACCCTAAACCCCCGAGCTGCCAAGATCTGCCCCAAGCTGCCTGGAGGACTGCATGGCCTTGATGCAGCTTTCGAAGACTGGAGCACTGTGCCGATCGGCTCCGCTTCGATCGGACAGGTGCTTCCGTTCCGGAGGGTTTTTTGGGTTTGGTTTAGGTTTAGGGTTGAGGTTTACATAGGATTTCGGGTTTCAGGTTTAGAGTTTAGGGTTTAGGGTTTAAAGGGTTTCACCCATTTTGCCCCCGGCGGTCTCCAGGTGTATCTAGCTCGGCTGCGATCGAGCGGAGAGCGGGTTGCTGTGAAGGCCGGGCACATGCCGCAAAATACGGGTTTGGGATGTTCCCCTCATGCTAGCAGTCCTTAATAGGGATTATAGTACCCCCTTTTCTAATCCCTATTAAGGACTGTTAGTATAATATAAGGTTGCTCATTGCTAGGCAGGCCCTGGGGACACTATATATTTTCCTTTATTGGGCTTAAGAGGCTCAAACTCAGGAATATTCTTTCAGAGGGTTTAAAGGGCAATCCTATAGATTGCTTGCTGTACATGTTTTTGTGACGAGACTGCTCTGGTTGTGGCGAAGATGCAGTTTAAGGCTACACGGACAAGCTGCACCCAACAGAAAGTCCTTCTGGATTCTTCCTGGATTTCAGTGTGCTGCATCGAAGGTGCAGATGCCGGGGGCAGAGCACTTGTTTCGAGTGGACATCAAGACTCTCAAGCTTTTTACAAGCCGCCTTCATGCAAGGGGCAAGAAAAGTTACGCAAGGTGTTTCGTGTTGGTCATTCGCCATGACATGGCCAGGGGTTGCTTTTTCAGGTTGGTTGTTTAAAGGGCCCGAAGAATTAGGAACAGGGTCGGATGATGGTTAGTCGTGTGACAGCAAGCTTGTCATCCAGTACACTCTGCTGTTAATTGCTTAAGAACCCCAAAAATCAAACATATTCTTCCTTATAAGGGCAATACAAGGGATTATTTTTCTTTTGGGGTTCTTAAGCAACTAGTAGTCTGGTACTGACAGGAGCGTCTAGGCGCACGCGCTGAACTCTGACTTGTGCTGACATGGCCCGATTGACAAGCACAAGAGATGCCTTTCCACGCGCGACAGCGATGTCAACTCTCAAAGTAGCCAATCAACCGGCAAGCATGATCAGACTATACCGGCGTCTGTGTTTTTGCAGCACCTCACAGTGCGAGCAGCGCTGATGCATCCAGGTTTCGCAAGGAATTTGCAGGTCTTTGCCTAAGTGTTGCCAGTTGTCGAATTTTCGTGGGCCGTATGCCAAGAAAGAAGCGCAACGATCCAGCATGATCCAACACTTAGTGGTTTTTTGGGCGGGTTCAGCGCATGCATGCACCTTTTCCTTTTTGTTCCGCCAGCCTTCCCTGAATGTTGCAAAATGGGAGAAGCAAGCTTAGTCTTCTTGTCTTTCGGGGCTTTAGAATTTGGACCGCAGTCCTGCATCTTATGAGGCTCGGAGGTGTTATGGAATGTTCCAACTTTTTGAGAACTTGGATCAAGGCTTCGCCTTTCCTTGGGCGGTGGACCACATGAGCGAGCTGGAGGCGATGTTCGAGTCTGAGTTCGACTATGCGCTGGAGCGGGCTACCTGACTTAGGGTTTGGGGCTTGGGGCTTGGGGGCTTATGGCTTAGGGCTTCGCATGAGAGTTCGCATGTTTGACCTACGCAATGCCTACGCTGAACACCATAAGCTACCGTAAAATCCGTAGACCGAAGCCTTTGGAGACACGGCCATAGCCCTAAACCCTAAACCCTAAACCCTAAACCCTAAAGAAAAAAAACCCGAGGAAAACATGGAGCGCGTCAGGGCAAACGTCGAGCAGCGGTGGGGAAAGCGCGTGAAGCTCAGGCTTTTCTTAAGCCCAACATGCAGAAAGAAAGAAGAAGCTAAAAGATCCACATTTATTCTGTGCTATATGATATTAGATTAGATGATATTATATAATAAGTGTATGCAGTATGTAGTACGTAGGACATTATATATGTTTTCAGTTTCTGCTGCCTTCTTCAGGCTTTCGGTGTCTTTTTGATAGGCCAAGCCTCTCAAGATGAAGGCGTCAGGGGATTCACGCGGGGCCGGCTGGGGGAAGTACAGCCCTTGAAGGGCAACTTTCCTCTTGTAGCCATTAGGGTTTAGGGTTTAGGGTTAGGGTTTATAGGGTTTAGGGATAGGGACAGCCGTCATGATGGGCGGGGTGAAGTACGATTCCTAAGTTGCACTTACGCCTCGAACACGCCCTGGACTTTACCGGAGCCCTCAACACCTGACATATTGGAATCTCACTCGGAAGAAACGAGGGCTAACTGTTCTTGGTCGAGGCATGTCGAGGTGATTGCAACTGGGTTCCACTTTGGGAGTCGAGCAGACTATATTCAGCCCAACCGCCGCCCGCAGGTGTTGAACAGTCACGTCATACCTAGACGATGTGGTAGGCACGTTCACTCAAACATATGACTACCTGAAAAATTCAGTCAGGAAGGTTTCTGGTAGTTTCCTCTTGCTCGGGCAAGGCGTGGCCATTCCGAAAACGTATCCGGAGTTGTGCAGCCGGCGTGTTCTGTGCATGGATCTTCGGCTGCAAGCAGCAAAGACTGCGAACGTGATGGCACAACTGCTTCACAGGCCTAGACAGGCATTGCTCCGTTCCGAGAACGTGATCTCTTCCCAAATGAACACTAAACCGCACCAAGTTCTGTAATTCGGTTTGGCCAGAAAAGATTTAAAGCTCTAGGGGGGGAGTCTATTGCACGGTTTGCCCCTGCAACCCAACAGCGCCTCAGCCCGCCCTAATCCCCTGTATTGGGCCGGGCTGGAGTCTAGGATTGAGGCTTCGTTGGCCGAGCGTTTCATGCTCAGGGCTTTCCAGATTTGGGCCGCATTGCTCAGGGGCTCGGGTTGAGGGTTGAGGGTTTAGGGTTTAGGGTCGTATGCAAGGAGTATCTCGAGGGGGAGAAGCTGGTCGATGGCATCCTCCGGCGGGTCCGTGCACTGGCTTCCAAAGCAGGCAGAGACCCAGATGAGATCTTTGGCCTGACTCGCAGCAAGGGCATTAGGTTGTGCGCTTTGGGGTGTATACAGCTGAGCTTATGAGCTTAAGGATGTTTAAGGCGCCTTTATATAGCTGGGCTTGTGAGCTTAAGGATGTTCTTGAAGGCATTCACACCTTGGAAGGTTTCCGGAGGCATCCCTTAAGGCTCGGGCAGGCTTCAGGATTTCAAGGGCCACTTGACGACATGTTCCCCACGCGTGACAGGCCTCCAAGATGCGGATCGGAGAACCCATGAGCCTCCTCACGCCTCATACAGCCTCGCAAAGTTTGGGGTTTAGGGTTTACTTTGTCATAGCTGGGTAACATGTTACATGTTTAAGTGCCCGGCAGCCTCCAAAGTCCGTTGCTCAAAAGGGCACTTAAACCCAACAAGGAACAACAAATTGTTTTTAATATTATCCCAACCATGAATTAGTTTAGGGCTCAGGGAATCTGAGCTGTTGGAGCTCAGCCTCCGCGAGCTGAGGGTCGTCGCCGACCACCTCGAGAAGCTCCGAACTGGGAAGCTGATGGCGCGAAGTGAAGCTCGGCTTTGCGAACGTTCGTGGGCCTTGGGGTTTGGGGTTTGGGGTTTAGGGTTTTAGGGTTTTAGGGTTTAGGGTTTAGGGTTTAGGGCGTGATGTTTTTCTACGTTTTGGGGCATTGCTTGAAAACGGAGCCGGGAGACTGTAACAAAAACAGCAGCCTCGGAGGTTTTTGCCGCAGGGTCCTGCTGTTCCACTTGTGATCAAAGCCAGTTAGAATCTCATCATTAGAGGTCAATTAAATCCCGATAGGGTTTTGTTGTAATCTGTTCATGTTGGCTTCATTCGGGCATTCCTGAAAATACACAGTGGAAGTAGATTTTGCATGTAGGTTCAACTATGTTAAAGCTATGGCAGAGATAGTCAATGCACTTGACTTTTAACTTGGTATCCTAGTGGTTTGTGATGATCCGGCTAAGGTGTTGTCATTATGGCGGACTTCGAAGTCTATTAGGGTCGTATTTAAAGTAAACTGTCCGTGTAAAGTTGTACTGTACCAAACGCATTTGACTTAACATCTTTTTGCTGATCCCAAGGTAAAGCCACCACTAGGCACTGCGATTAGAAAAGCACGCGCATGAGTATTTTCTTTTACTTGCTTAACACGTGGAGGTGCCCTGAATTTCTTTCCCAAAATGCACCCACAGCTTGCCCGAAATCCCCACAACTAGGGTTTTAAGTCTCTGATGCAACGATGTCTTACACAGTGGTTTACTGTAGGTATGCGAATCTTGTCCGAACTTGTCATGCGAGCATGGTGTTTGCAATGGCGGCGGTCTGCCTCCCCTCTCTCCCAAGCCTGTTTTTGTTCATGCGATTAGAGTGCGTCACAATGTGTGAACCCTGTCGGAACCCGTCATGCAAGCAATGTGCATGCAAGTGGGGGAGACCCCCACCCCCTGGCACTTGTTCAAGCTGAATTGCTTCAAGAGGCCATTGAGTCGAACGACATACGAATCCCCTCACCCCCTCGTTTTTCTATTCCTGGCCTCGAAGCCGAAAACCACAAACACCTAGAAACCCAAACCCACAAACCTTACCCCTTGAACCCCAAAACCTGAAGCTTAGCTTGGTACGACACCTAAAGAGAAAACATGGCATAGAGTAGAAGAGCGACGAGAAATAGGCCACAATGTACGTAAAAAAGTCCAAAACAATTTCTTGCCGATTTTGTTATGTTCGAGAGGGTTGCTTGGTCACGTTTACTTTTACGAGAGACTTTGCTCACCATTCGTTATCTGGCGGGAAGTGTTCTGAATGTTGGCTTCGGTTCTTTCCATGGTACCTCAAAACCGTGCCACACCAATCTTGCCAAATTAACATGGCGGGGCATCTTCGGGGCTCGGTAAGCCACCTTGTTTCCTTCGCATTTGCAGAGTTCTCCCTTGGAACTCCCAACAAAGTTTTACAAGGACCTTGTTTTGAGCATGCCCATCATGATGTATGTCAGTACGCATGTGTGGGTGGGTGTGGGTGGGTGTGGGTGGGTGTGGGCGGGTGTGGGTGGGTGTGGGTGGGTGTGGGTGGGTGTGGGTGCGATGAACCGACATGTGTACAGACGTTTGCCTTGGAGGGCACAGTTCTTGCAGGGCCAAGTCGCCAATCCGAGCCTAAAGTTGAGCAAGGGTTGTTACTCCAGCGAACTAGGCACAATTAAAAAGGTGACATGATAATGAAAAATGAACACATTGACACTGCAAAGTCAAGAACAGACTTGACTTAGAAGGGTATCCCACCGGGCACCCCCCAAACAGTCTCGCCGTCCCGAAGACAAACTTGACTTTATAGGGCCCTGCTGAAGAGACTAAAGCCGATTAATAACGTGTTCGGATCCGTGTTCGTGGCGAGGTTAGAAATTCTGCCACAATCGGTTTGGTTCTAGCGCAAATGAACCAAAACCGGCTCAGAAGTACTTTAAGGTTACCATGTTTCCTTAAATGAGCTCAAGAATATACAGACAAGATGTACCTATTTCACAAATTCATAAGTTTGTTCAACACGACTTGCACATAACTCAACATGAGTCAATACTGATTTTGACTAGATGACTAGATTCAATAAACCTAAGTGTTTCTGTCAAGAGGCTGAAAAGCAGCTGAAATGAAGCTGATACTCGCTAGCGGACCCTCCTAATCCTCCCCGGAACCTCTGGAAGCTGCTGGGAAGGTTCTGCAGAACTGCCCTGTTTTTGAAGAAGATTCCCCAACTCGCTCGCTCGGAAACTTTATTCACTTGGTGAGCAATGGTGAGCCCAAAGCTAAAGCAGCATCGCAAGGAATTTTCCCCCCTTGCAAGGCCTACGCGGCCAAATGGCGTGCAAGGGCCTGGCAGGCTTGCGGCCCGGAAGTCGAGCAGCTAGCCGGAGACGCAAGAGAGAGACGAAGAGATGGAGACAGAGACAGACAGAGCCGGGTACAATGACAGAGTCGAACTTGCTGTGAGTGGCAAGGTGCGCGTGACCAAACAAAGCGATGTCGGACTCATGCAAAACTCGACTTGTGCCATCTTTGGGCTTGTGGTAGTAGAGGATGCAGCAAAATACCTGCACCCTTGCATACACTTTAAGTAGCATATAGCATACACGCCCTTTTCAAGGTTCACACAAACACACAAAGACTCGCAAGCTTGGGCTTCGAATTCTTCTTGCCATACAGCCGTGAGAGGTCTGGCAAAGACTCCAGGGCATAGAGGACATTAACATCCCGCAGCTGATGGAGACGCACCTCGGCAAAAGTGTACCAGGCCTGGGCTTTGGAACCTTGGGGAAGGTAGCCGCAAGATGCGACCCGAGGGGCTTGGAGACAACAAAGGCGCGTGACGCGCGCGCGCGCGCGCGACCTGAAGCTAAGGTTGATGACCATCCATGGGGAGCAAGTGTTCACCGACGGCCTCTTCAATGCGGACCCTCACCCTGGCAACGTCCTCATGCTCAAGGTTGGGGCGGTTGGGGGGCGGGGGGGGTTGGGGTGGGGGTTGGGGGAGGATGATGGCTTTTTGACAGAGGTGGTTTGTGTAGTAGGAAGTCCAAGGTCTTTTGAAGTTGGGGGCTTCGAGTGTAATGACCGGTGAACCCTTCAACAGGGGCACGTTGTTCGTTCCCACTGCTTTGGGGCGATCTTCGGCCTGAGCCTGCCTTTGCACGCCCAATCCCTCAACCAAAGATGACAATCCCAATGTCACAATGCCGAAACATCCCCCGAAACGCCGCAACTGTCAAGTGTCCAACTAAGAAACAGCTCTAAAAGTATCGTCTGGAGGATGCTGCCCGCGCGGTTGGTCTCATCGACTTCGGGCAGGTTAAGGACTTTCACTGTGTTGGTCTTGGCTCGACCATGACAGCCATCCCATGACCCAAGTGGACTTTCTGCAAGGGTGTGCACTTGATCGAAGTTAACTAGCGACGGAACCAAGGGAGCTTGGGCACAACCCTAAACCCTAAAGGGACTGTGGCCTCGGAAGTCTGCTGTAGGGCTCGCAGAAGAGCAGAAGCGGGTCAAGCCCAGCAGCCTAGAGTGATTGCAGGCGCGTGCAGCAAGCAGACCCGATTGCGGCCGTGGCCCATAGCAACCAGTGCAACGAGTAGCTTGTTAGAAAATGCTAACCCTAAACCCTAAACCCTTAATAGTTAGATTTGTTGGGAAGAGCAACCCCTTAAGTTTCGAACGCGGCCAGGAGTTGTCCATTGACTTCCGGATCCAACTTGCCAAGCTGCCCCCTGACATGGACTCTTGTAGGCTTGGGGATTTGCTTCGCTTTTTTAAGGTTTGGGGTTTGGGGTTTAGGGTTTAGGGCTTAGGGTTCAGGGTTTAGGGTTTAGGGTTTAGGGTTTAGGGGCTCTTTGGGGTAGACTGAAAAGGGTGGCGAAAATGAATATCGGAATTAAGTTCCATCGGCTGATGTGGCCGAGAGCTTTGCGTAGGAGTCGGCCAAAGGTCGACCTGCTACTGGCCTTCAGGTTTACGGTTCTTTTCCTTCTGTGGCTGTTTATGGGATCCTTGCTAGCCTGAGTTGTGGCAGATGGACACCTATATGGCCATACGGCCCTGCAACCAATTGTCTTCTGAGGCGCGCCAAGAATCGTTCCATTCACATGACTGCTCGAAAAATGAAGCGGTTGCATTTCGTGCGTAGGGCCCTTGGCATTCACAATGCATCTGCTCGATGCAGGTTGGCTAAGCACGTCATCCACACTTGGCAGTCATGGTAGTTCAGCTGGGGACCCTGAATTTGCTTTGTTACGTTGCAGGGTTGCGGATCTTGGGGGCCCACCCAGGCTTGAATGACTCGTTAGGGTTTAGGGTTTAGGGTTCAGGGTTTAGGGTTTAGGATTGCAAAAGCGTTTGTGGCATTAGCTTGCTGGGATCTTTGGTCCTCAACACAGACATGCACCGCATCCAAAATTGCAGGTCGTGGCGTTTGCATACTCAGGACTCAAAGTTTCAAAGGTCGGTCAACAGAAGCAAAGGAGCTTCCTTCCTCACCCGAAAGTCCAGCCAAGGATGATTGCCCTGGCGAGAAGAGATCAGGCGGAGGTTGTGCGGCTGGACAAGGAGACAAGGGAGGGAAACGAGTGATTGAGAAGTGCGAGCCGGGGGGCAGCTGCAAGGAATAGAACTGCTAGGAGGCAACTGAATTAGAATCACAGGTCGAGGCCAGGCATTGACTTTGCCACAGTTCGAACTCAAGCCACTCTCTCTTGCGATTCCTGCTAAGCTCAAGAAGCAACACCTCAGGGTTGAAGCCCCCATCCCTGAAATCCTAGATCTTGCTCCTACCAGGAGATGGGCAACCGCACTCGCAACTCCAAGTCCGACGTGCGGTAACTTGGATTGAGATTCTGGAAGCCCGATAGCTCCTTCTCAGAAGCAGCCAGTCGGAGACCCCCTAAAAGCATGCAACAGCTCGGTTCGAGCCCCATCTTCGCATTAACAGCCATGGCAGGCCCGAAAACCAGTTGAAGAGTGCAGACTCAGAGAGGATTCGGACTCGGTCAGGCCCTTTGAGCCCTATCCTAACCCTCCACAACCACAGAATTCTTGGCCGGAACCAGGTACAGGGTGCTGTCATTCTGGCTCGACCGCGACACCGACGATGTCACCCAGGGGCAGAGCTTCCATGACTTCCTTGCATGGGCTGAGGCGTGGGCTTTACCCGAAACCCTTTAAACCGTAAATCCTAAACCCTAAACCCTGCATCCTAAACCCTAAACCGCTTAACTGTGTTGAATGGTTCAGCGCCAAAAGTATTGATGCTCTTCTCGAGGCGCCGGAGGTTCCGGCCGAGTCTCGGGCTCTCGGAGCTGGAAATCGGCAAGATCTCACAGCCTTCCCATCCCTAAAAACTCGAACTACAATCCGCTGCGCATCATCGTGGCTGTTGGTGCTTTTGACCCCTACTGAGACTTTGTGTAGGACTTGTTGCCTTTGCGCGGTTCGAAGACTCCATCACTATTGTGGGAATGTGTAGCATCAAAACCCTTGACGCGTCCATCACCCTTCGAACAGAGGTTAGACGGCTGCCCATGTGTTGCTTCCGATACCCTTGTGAAAGTCTTGAAATCTAGCAGGAAACGTCTATTGGAGTCCATTGGCTGTTGATCTTGACATGAAGAACGTTATGTCCTGTTTCGTTCAATACGGAAATCCCCGTACTCAGTTGAATACATTTGATTGCAGAGAGGATTGAATGTTCAGGCTGCCCAGGGCTTTCCGAATTCCTCTTCATCATATGGGGGTTTCCGAAAAGAGGGGACCCCTGACATAGACCCCCAAGTAGTAGGATTCCCTCATAATCAGGACCCCCAAAAGGTACCCCTTATTTCCGAAACCCCCCATATTCTTTCGGGCGACAAGTTTGCGGGCTCTGGGTTTTCCTGCTCCTGGCTGCAACTTGCAGGCCGAAGATCCGCTGGTGGACATGCGCCAGGAGTTGCACTTAGTCATGCGCTGCTCCTGTATGATACGAGCCCTTGACTGAACACCGTGAACAACCCTCGTTCCAGTCGCTTTCAGATGTTCATCTCAGCCTTGATGTTGCCAAGAGTAAGAGCCGCATAATGCTTTGACAAGAGCTTGAAATCATGCTTGAGTTGTTTAATGTTTGTTGTTGCTATGTGTGTTTGGGCGCGCTACGCCGGGAGGGAGCAGCTAGGATTTACTCGACACGGCAGTATTTCTTGAGAGTTATTCTTAATGAAACATTCTGGCATTGTCTGCCATGTCCTTTACAAGTTGCAAATGCACTGTCCCTGGTAGTGTTGGAGTGAGGTCGATCCGAAAATCTAGCTACCCTTTGTCGATGCCCGCTATCGGGTTTCCAGCTCAGGAAACCTGGCATTGACCTTTGGCATTCGGCTTTCGACTGCGGAGTATTGGAGACCTCTGGCTCAGGCCCTGCTCCAGAAGCACAGCATCACATACTGAGAGCCAGAGGCTCTTTGCTTTGAGAGCTGGGAAGCTTCGGTCACACGTCCTCATTTCCTCGCGGCGTTCTGGGCTGTCGCCGGGGAAAACGGCGCCCGGTATCCTGACAAGGAGCTGCGCTGACGCTTGTAAAAGCCGGACAGCGTGTGCCACGAACTTCGTGCACGCGTTCGCGAGTGAGCTGCTCCTGATGCCGGCCGTGGACTTCTGAGTCTGACTGGATTTGGCCCCAGATTGATCCGTGAAGTCCTCGGGTAGCTGGGTAGATGGATTTTGGCTTCAGAGGGCCAGAGATGTCCAGACTGTGCACAGTTAAAGCAAGGCAGCACTAAGCCTCGGGATTGTGGCAGTTTGTGTTCGCCGCTGTGCTCTGGTGTCCTGGTGTTCCCGGTTCGGGCTAGGAGCGGATGGCGCACACTCGTGCGATAAAAGGGTGACAGGGTGTCAGTGTCTGCGCAGGCTTGTATTTGGGCAATGGACGTTTTGCCTGAGCGAGATTTGAGTTCTTCTGGAGCATGAAATCATCCATTGCCTGTCGACCCATCGACGTAGAGATGCATCCATTTCTTTGAGTCACGTAGGTTTCTTGCGCGGCTCTTGCAAGAGACGGAACTCAGAATGGGGTCGCCATCGACCCACCGCAGAACTCCGACTTTAAGCGTCCCAAACGTCCCCCAGAGATCCCCAGAGACAGGGCCCCAAACCCCGACCCTTCCCTCCTCCTATATCCCCCTTGGGATTTTTTTTTGTATTTCTGTTCATATATAATATATATATATATATATATATATAACTTAAGAGGAGATTAAAACTATATTCTGTTGATTAAGGTTCTAAGGGGAGTCTAGCCTCCCACAGCCAGGGGCACTTCGGTCCGACCGCTCCCGTCGGAAGCTCAGAGCCCTAGAGAAGCAGAACGGAAACCCCTAAACCCGAAACCCGAAACCCTAAACCCTAAACCCTAAACCCTAAACCCTAAACCCCAACCCCCAAAACCCTAAACCCCAACCCCCTAAAGCCTAAACCCTAGTTTTTTCGGCTGCTTTAGTCTGATCTCACCAGGCTTAGCTGGGATGGGGTCCCCCTGTCTTGGGGCTCATGGACCCAGAATAGGCTAGCATGTATTTCGTGGCTCACAGATCGCTAGGGCAACGCTCGGTAGTTGTCTAGTGCTTGAACAGGACTCTAGCATCCTTCAGTGGTTAAAGGGTTTTAGGGTTCAGCAGGCCAGATGCAATAACGGTGTAGGGTTTAGGGGTTCACTGGACTGGTTGTGATCATCTGTGGTAAAGATCTTTTTGGGGTTTAGAAGTGATGCCGGGTTGACAACAGGAAAGGGTTAGGATGTTGCCCCTTGTACTAATTGTCCTTAATGGGGACTATACAGGGGATTAGGTAGTATAATCCCTATTTTGGACTGGTAGTGTAAGGGGGAACGTCCCAAGGAAAAGGCTTCCCAAAGAGCTCGCAGGCCTAAATACCTGAAGCCCCTGTGAGGCCCAGTCGTCAAGTTCAGCACGCCCCAGGGCAAAGGCAGCATCGCTATGTCGAGGAGTCTTGGTGATGTGCGTGCTTTACAGCAGAATGATAGCTTTACATGAGGTTCCCTGAATTTTCGTGTGCACAGACCTGCGCACGAAGCTTGAGTATTCTTATATCTTGCAGCTTTGCACGTGAGGTTTGATCCGATTGCATGCGGGTGTCAAGGAGCGATTATGGTAGGCTCCTGCATAGAGAACGCCTGGTCTTTGGACGACCGGCAAGGCCGCATGGAAGGGGAGAGTGCTGCGATGGCGAAGCAGTGGAGCAGCGAAGCAGCCAAGCAACAGCCAGGAGTCGTAAGGAGACGTTTCTAGTGGTGAGCCAGTGACATCCGCTGACAAGCAAAAGGCCAGCCAGGAGCCTAGACGTGCAGAAAACATACCGTGACAAACAGCTTTCTGCAATCGTGAGTAGCAGAGAACCCGAAGGAACTTGTTGAACCATCAGGCTTGATGGTACTCCTAACCAGCCAGTCTGCGCTTCGTTTGCAGGACACGGGCTCCGATTGGAGCGATGTGCGGGCCGGAGACCACAATCCGTACAAGGCAAGACGCAGAGCGCGCAGAGCTTTGAGATGTTTAGAGCCTACGTTCCATGCTATGGCCTCGAACTACCTAAGTGGCGTGAGAGCAGTCTAGCTCCAGGGCTTCAGAGTCGGAAGCTAAGGGCACCCAAATTTATCAAGCAGAGGGCATAGACGTCCACTCCAGTTGTTTGCGGTAACGCCTGTCACGCTGCGAGGCCAACCATGTGCCCTGGAGCGATGTCCGGCTGAGCTAGCAGAGCCTGTCAGGTTTGCACCGGGTTTAGGGTTTAGGGTTTAGGGTTTAGGGTACACTGGAGCGTGAGAACAGCCCGCTTACCCGGTCTCAACAACGGAGGGTTTGTTGTGCACTCCTTTTGTGAGGCCGAATTAGTTTGCCTTGCCCGCCTTGCGGGGCTGCGAGCGTCGAAGCTGTGTAGGCGCATCGTTACTTGTTGTTCTTTACGAGACCCTTTAGCTCCCTGGAGTTGTCGACTCGGGGCCTTGTCTGGAGTTGATTCTGATGTTATCAATGCCGAAACTGATTCGGTGGGGGAAGGAAGGAGTCACGAAAAGCAAGAAGCACAACAGAAGGACAAATACAAGCAAACTCGCTTACATCAAGATGCAATGCCTGGACCGCGCTGCGACTGGCAGTGCCAGCATCAAAGCCATTGCAAAAAGGGTCATGCGGGCAAAAACTAACACCACGTGTGGAGGAACACGCGCTGCATGAAAGAGCACTGCGGATATTGCTAGTACTGCCGTGATGTTTACATGTCGTGCTGGTAATTTGAATTCTTATTGCCAAGACCGCTTTTCTTGCTATTGCTATTGCTACTGCTACTGCTACTCCCTATGCCTACTCCTACTCCTACTCCTACTCCTACTCCTACTCCTACTCCTCCTACGACTACTACTCCTACTACTACTACTACTACTACTACTACTACTACTACTACTACTACTACTACTACTACTACTACTACTACTACGACGACTACGACGACTACGACGACTACGACGACTACGACGAGTACGAGGACGACGACGACGACGACCACGACGACGACGACGATTACTCCTGCTGCTGCTGCTGCTGCTGCTGCTGCTGCTGCTGCTGCTGCTGCTGCTGCTGCTGCTGCTGCTGCTGCTGCTGCTGCTGCTGCGGCTACCGCTACCGCTACTGCTACTGCTACGGCTACTGCTAATGCTAGTACTGTGACTACTGCTTCTACTGATTCTACTGCTGTGCTTCAACTGCTTCTACTGCTTCTACTGCTTCTACTGCTTCTACTGCTTCTACTGCTTCTACTGCTTCTACTCTACTTCCACGTCTACTTCTACTTTTGCCTTGGCATTTTTGCAAGCATTTAGACTGCCTCAAATTTACATCATTTGAAGCTTGGAAACTTGAAATGGTGAGGTTCATCCAACCTTGAAAATGCGATACATCAAAGCTTTTGGAGATTTGAACGCAGCTAGGAATGCTGCGGGATCTGCATCGTGTGGTGCAGCTCAACTGCAAACATCTGCAACGCTGCCATTTCTCAGTTTTAGAAACTTCGAAAGCAGCCACAACGCGGTTAGTTTGCTGCCCGGAATGTTTCGGAACATCGAAAAGTTCCAGGGACGTCACAACATCTGGCGATTCATGACCATCTGATTTTTGCACTTGGCGATGTTTGAGATCTTGAACATTTGGAATGCTGTTCTTTGCAGCATTACCGCTTCCAAAATCTCGCAAGGAATGGAACGCTTCCGATTACATCCTAGAGGAACTAGAGGGTTCCAGACCACGATACATATACACATATCAGGTCATGGAGCTTATCTGTATTGAATAGTTGGCCTTTTGTCGCAGATTTGTTCAGGCTGTGGAAATTTCCAGTCTTGCTCAGGCTAGCAGTAGATTAGTTTTTCTTGCCGGCTCAAACGAGCTCTGACACAATTCGCCGGGCATAGAAGTTGCCTGTGCGGTCCGAATTGGGGAAGGATGCATCATGGTGCATCTGTGCCGCGGACATCACGACTCATGTTCGGCTATCCGATCTTGCTTTGAACAATCATGCACGCGAGCTGTTGTCGTAGGTCAGGGTGAGGAGCCACCAGGGTTTGCACAAGAACTGCTGAAACCACAACGGAGTTCTCGCGGAGGAACCCTAAACCCTAAACCCTAAACCCTAAACCCTAAACCCTAAACCCCAGCAGCATGCTGCAGTCCACCTTCCACTGCAGGTTGTACAGAGACCTTTGCTGACCGTTTCTTGCCGAGAGTGTATCTGAAATGGCCAAAAGAACTCTGCCTCAACTTGTATTCTGCAGCCCTGGAGCCTTGAACTCTCCACCCCGATTTTTTTTGAGTTAAGGCGCCGTTCCATGAAGACTCATGAAGACTCCTATGTCGGGCTTGACATTGTGGTGTAGCCGAAGGGCATCCAAGGGATGACTAAGGGGTACTTTGCCGTCCCCTAAACCCTAAACCCTAAACCCTAAACCCATATAGAAACCCTAACTTCACGGCAACTCGGTGTCTGCTTTCCAGCCGATTTCCCTGTTACTTTGACTGCGACTTTGACGCGCCCCAGACCTTGTACACATCTTCAGGTGTCACGTGGTCTGTCAGGATGGGTTCTTGAAGGTCGACCTAAATTGCAAGTATAACATACTATAACTTTTGTTTGCAGACACATCTCGCACGGACATGTCTCGATTCCTCGGCGAAAGATGTGCCTATGCCAGCTTGGAGGAGCCTTGCCACATGGCCGCAGGGCTCTGGCTCAAGGCCAAAGTTGTGTGGCCTGGTGGGTTTCGAGCGTTTCGTGTGGGGATTTCAAGCCCGCAAACGGCATTTTACAAGCCGTGCCTTTGATTGTAGGCAGGCAAGCAGCCATGGTCTCCAACGGCCCCCCCACCTTTGGGAAGAGCAAACTTCCCTGAGCCCTGACTATTTAGGGAGGCCCACCTTCTCCCTCAAAGGCCGGCAAGCATCCAACATCATCCAACGGTTGGACAACTCTACGCCGCCATAGAGCAAATGGCCGACCTTTGTAGCCTTCGATCATCCCAAAGGGCTCGAAACCAAGCATGGCCGCTGCACGAATCGACTACTTGGAGGTTCATGGTACTTATTAACCAAGTGTAGCTGTACTTATAGCCCGCTTATGAGCCCCTCAAGTGCCCTAGTATGGTTATAGTTGGGGTATTCGAGTTGGGTCAATAAGTACCCTGAACCTCCAAGTAACTCTCGCAGCAACGCAGAGTCCGCATGCCGTTGCACTGTAGATGCCTGGTCTTTGAAGTTCTGGAGTGTCCAAGTTTCCATCGCGTGGTGTTGCGATGGTCGGGTGTAAACCCTAAACCCTAAATCCACTTTGTGTTGGAGGGAGCTCTGAAGGTCCTGGCTGCAGTTCTCGTCGCAGCGGCCGCCTTTTTGCAAGGCTGGGGCGGTGCTTGTCAAGGGATATAGGGTTTAGGGTTTCGGGGTTTCACAGAACTAAGATGTTTGGTGAGGCCGGCAGTGGCAGGACAAGGTAAAGGCAAGATCATCTTGATGGGTAGCTGGCCTGATGCAGCCTTAGTGCAGCCGATAGCTGCAAGCAGGACTTGGGAAAAGATTGGCGGTTGGGTGGTGATCAGAGTTTCCTCACATCCATCCCAAGACGATCTGTGGATATGAAAGAAGATGACTGCGAGTTCAAGTTCTTGAGCACCCATCGGTGACAGCCTCGCTTCTCACCCCATCTTCGGTCTTATGCAATCCTGTGACACTTGCCTGCTCGCAACACAGTCAAGTCTAGCTGATTGCTGAGGACTGGGGTTCGGGACCCCTGCCCCCACCCTTCGAAAACTGCTTGTGCAGGCTGCCGCCAGTTTAGGGACCCGACCTGCGCAGACAGTCATGGCCTCAGAGCAGTGACTTGAGGCGAAAGCTGCAGCTTAATCGGCGGATGCTTCCATCTTTCTGCTTCGCGTCAGAGAGTGTGCGGGTGGGCACGCCACGATGACTCAACAGCACTACATTGTCATGTAGGCCTCATCCCTAGCGGTGATACGCAGCTTCACAGCTGCAGAATCAAGCATGAAAGCCCTCGAAGGCTGCACTGTATATGGCAACTGTACCGTTCATGTTGCAGCATCTTGTGTACGGATGCCGTCCTCAAAGAGCAGTTTGCCCGGCATCAGCAGGATCCAGGGACTGTTCAAAGGGGTCCGAAGGGGCTGCTAGAATGGCCTTAAGGGCATCAAGTGTCAAGTGCCGGGCCACTCCCCTGGGGCCCTGGGGACCGCAGGGACCGTCTAAACAGGACCCTAAGGAGAGGAGCGCGTTAAGACGTGGAAACATTGGGCTGGCTAGTGTCTACAGTCATCGCACTCTGTCTACTGCGTGACGAATGTAGACGTCAGGCAGGAGTAGAACCGTAAGGCTGCAATGCTGCAAGGGTGGGGGTAGGCGCGACATGAAAGCTCTGACCGGCGAACCGCATCTGACTGAATCCAGCGAACACTGAGACACCATTTGTTAGGGAAATCTTGCAGCCCCTTCCCGCATAGGAATTTCCCATGCAAGGCGACGACCAGACGTGCTTTCAAAGCGGTCTTACGGATGGCAAGGAGGACATCTCCGTCTCTGAGTCACAAGCCTGATAGTGCAAGTCGTATGCCCTGCTATGCCTGCTACAGCTCGGACCGCTGCCGTGGATCATATTGCATCCACGGCAATACTTGCAATTCCCCAAAATACCATCACCAGGTGTGAGGCAACGGGACCCGCCTTAGGGCCTTAGCTGCTGCCGCCTCACGATTGTCGGCTTCTAGGCTTCTAATGGCGGCCCTGACTCTGTCTTAGTTGAGCCCTCCTTTCGAAATGCCCAGCTCCGCCCTGCTCCTGCCTTGCTGGCTCGTGGAGGCGTGCGTCCTCCAACAGGTGGGTGAGCTTGGTGATGGCCTCAGCCGGGGTAGCACGCAGAGAAGTGACTCGTGACGCCTAAGTCCTAAGTGTTTATTTTCCAATATTTCCTCTTTACCAAATAAGCCTTGGAGCCGAACGCGGAGGTCGGGCGAAGAGCACCCGCTTGGGCATGGGAGGTTCGTACACATAGCTACACGCGGTAGGGCAATCTGAGCAAATCATGTGCCCAGCACCACGTTTCCAATGCACTTTGCGCGCTTGGGTTCAGTTGATGCATGACAATGCCATTTATACGGCACACCCTCAGGTTGGATTGAGATTGAAAAAAAATCGCCATGATGGCATGTGTAAGGATACATCTGCGCCATGAGCAGGGGAGGCACATGGTGCTGCAGTGGCACGACACAGAGTTTTGCATTCTGTAGACGGCCTGCGCAGGATCGGACTCGGCCCTCCCAGTGCAGCAGGAAGCTGTATTCCCTCCGAGTGTAACGGAGGTTGTCCGTCCCGGTCGTTTTTTTCCGGCCATGTCGAAGGACTGGAGGTTCCTGAACCGCTTCGTGAAGCACTGATATTGATGGATAACACCGTCAGAAAGTCATGGCGACTCGTTGAAAAGTCACGTCTGCAACCGTTACCTGCTGAGCTGGCAAAGTCTGCCGCTGTTTGTTTGTGATGTATTTGTCCCAGTCGGCCTTCACAATGCATGCGATACTCTGAGAGTCACGTACCCAACCAACAAATTTGAGTGACAGGTGAATTGCAACGTCGTATACACTTCACCATGGCATACCATTCTATGTTTCGGACCTGTTGCGGTTGCACTCTGGTCGAAAATCGAATTGTCAGTCATGATATGTCCTGTCAGCTCTTCCCAAATTCATGGGTTCAAGCAAAAGCCTTTAATTTGGCAGTCTGCCAAAGACCTCGGATGCCCTGTCTTTCCCGATCTACCATGGTGCAGCCGGAAAAACATAAACGACATGTCGCACCCGTGTGCCCCGATTGCTTTCTCCGCCTGACAAAGGTTTTGTATGACCAATCTTACAAGGACGGGAAGTGTTTCTGTATGTTTTCACCCTGTCTTCACCAAAGGAGACAAAATCGGCGTTGCCGCTTCCAGATAGGTGAACCCAGAGAAAGCCCATGAGAGCCCTGTACAAACAAAAAAGCTTGACTGTCCTTGACAAATCTGAGTTTCCTGCAGCATTGTGTATTCGGAATCCAAGAAGAAGGTTCGGGCGCATAGTGCAGGAAGCAATGCCGCAGCAGGGCCCGTAGTTTGAATTAGGGGACACAGGTGACCCTTTGTAGCCGCCAGCCCAGGTGTGAAGTACCAGCGTGGCTTTGAGAGCGGCTTTGCAGATGGCAAGAAGGAGGCGGGCAAGCCTCTTCCATCTGGAATGGGCAGGGATGAAAGAGTCTTAACTCCTGTGAAGAAGAGCCTGCAGCCTACACTCTAAAGCGACCAACAGCCACCTTGCCAGCAAAGCTAGACCGAAGAAAGTCATGTTTGCCGGCGTCTTACAATGTTAAGGTTGCAGCCTACTTGGGTGCTGACCTTCATAAGCAAACGGGCTCTGCGAACACACCGACAGGCGTCCTTTTAGAACGCCTGAAAGGGGGAGCACATGCCGAGTCACACTGCGGCTAGGGGCGCTTCTTGTCGCTGTAAAAAGGAAGGCTGCCGCTACTGTAGGAACATCTTAAACTGCAAGGAACCAGGCACTTCGGGCTTAACCGCATTTAAGCACGTGCTCAGAAGACTCTCTTACTCAACCTGCACTGATCAGCAGGTACACTGGCAGGCGCTTTGCGTAGCATCAGGTTTTGCAGAAAAGTTTACCATCCCGCTTACCATCTCGCCATGAACAGGTATGTTAACAAATCCGTGAATGAAAGATCCCCATGATCCCCCAGGCGCTGCGGCTGCGACAGGTGACATCGCACTACAGCTGGAGCGACTATGCCTTCGACCTTGCCGGTGGCCAAGACCAGACATTGTGTGGATTTTCCAGTCGCTGAGCCGGTTGTATATGAAGGTCAGCACCCAACATCAGTCCTGTGCCCTGAACGCCAGCCTTTTGGGCCACGTCCGTTCAAGGACCTTCAGAGCATGACATGTGCGAAACAGAGCTTACTTGCTGCAACCGCGCCTTGAGTTTCCACGAGAGAAGTGAGTTCATGGAGCTGCTGGACCAGCTGTCTTCAGGTGACGGATGTGGTGATTCTGATGCTTGTCCTTCTCGGCTTCGGCCGTCTTGAGCGGTGCTTCTATCGGACCAAGGACATCTTCTGGTCCGAATCGTGTTTTTCTCTTGGGAGGGCTTAGGTTTGGTTTGGCATTTGTCGGACGCCTGGAATCTGGAATCCTTGCTTGGCGCCTTTCTTTCCTTCCCGAACATGATTCTTCGACCGATGTTGGTGGTGTTTGTACCGCATCGTAGTTGCATTGAAACCCCAACCCTAAACCCTAAACCCTAAACCCTAAACCCATCGCAGCAGAAGAGAAATCCTTCAGCCCACAGCCTGGCATCCGAAAGCCTGTGATAATTATCGTGGGCACGATGCTGGCACCCGCAAACATGCCTAAGCACTGGACCAAGACAAGCATCCCCAAAATGAGTTGCTAGCCTGCATGCGCTCAAACAGAATCGTTCAACTTCATGAGTTTAATTTTCCCTAAACCCTAAACCCTAAACCCTAAACCCTAAACCCTAAACCCTAAACCCTAAACCCTGGGAGCAGGGAAGGGACGTGGTGTGCAGGAGCCACAGGAGCTTGCAGCACCAGGCACTCCTTGCAGACGGGTTTAGGGTTTAGGGTATAATTCTGAGGGATTTTTTAAAGCCGGGTCCCGAGCGACCTGAGTCGGAACATTGACAACATTCAGGCAATCAGTATCCAGCTGGCCATGTCTCCTCGTTCTGAGTTCTGAAAGCTGGTTCTAGGCATATCACGATGTTCCGAATCCCACGCGAGGGTGTGAGGTCGAGCTGGGTTCCTTCTTCCCCTCTACATCAAGCAATCCGCAGGTGCACAAGAAGTCCAGGATCCTCGAGCGAACTACTTCTCTGCAAAAGCCGTGCCTGCACCTTACACCACGTACACCAATTAGGGTTCCGTGCTTCTCCCTGAGGCGCTCCCAGGTTTTTTGAGGGATCCGAGGTGGATGTTTCGAATGCAGGTCATGGCAAGTTGATGGAAGGTTATCATCCTGCCAGCGTTTGTGAGTTGCAAGTCTTCACGACCTTTAGGCTTCTGAGGCCTTGTCAGCCTGAATTTGAAAACCCAAAGGACAGGTGAAGCGATTTTTCTGATCTGCCTCAGGACGCGAGCGTACGACGCTTCTGTCCACCACGAGAACCATCCGAACCATCCTCATTCCTGAGTGTGGACAGGCACTGGTTGTAGCCATGAAGCTCGTTTCGGAAAACAAGTAGTTCTGAAATCATGAGTTTTCATTCCCCATTTTATCTGTTGGAGTAAGAACTGATTCATGTCAATGGTCTTAAATTCGTTTGGCGACTGAACGGGGTGGATTTGGCATCTCAAGCTCGAACTGTCAGGGTTTCGGGTTGGTGTAAAGTTTGGGGTTTAGGCTTCTGGACTGTTTCTTCAACTTATGAGGTTAATACGGGGAGGGATGCCATGTTGCGATTCCTCACGTAACCTATGTCCAAGAATACCGAATGAAATAGAAATGAAATTTCGTATAATGGGAATAAAGAACATCGAAGAAGAAATTCATAATCTTTGATCCATATATTCTCAAATAAAAATAAATCCACCATCCCGAATTAAGAGAATATGTGATTACGAAAAAGATTTTTCTTTATCATATGGAAAGAGGAAATCTTCTTTCTTCAAATAAAAAATACTTTTCTTCATAGGTCAATCTATATCTATTTATCTTCTTTAATTATAGA